GATCCGTCCCCTTTTTCTAGTTATGCAATTAACCCCTCGGCGCTGACCCTTCTTCTCTCCTCTGTTTCCAAATTTCAGGACTCCGATCAAGGCCGGCCTCCCAAAATGAAGGCTCAGAGTCGTTTATTCACATTCTCGCTCATCGCCTCTTGGTACTCCTCCAACATTGGGGTCCTCCTGCTCAACAAGTACTTGCTCAGCAACTATGGCTTCAAGTACCCGATCTTCCTCACCATGTGCCACATGACCGCTTGCTCTTTGCTCAGCTACATTGCTATAGCTTGGTTGAAGGTAGTGCCTATGCAGACCATTCGATCCCGGGTCCAGTTCTTCAAGATCTCCACCCTCAGTTTCGTCTTCTGCATCTCCGTCGTCTTTGGCAACATTTCGCTCAGGTACTTGCCCGTGTCCTTCAACCAGGCAATTGGTGCCACAACTCCATTCTTCACTGCGGTTTTTGCTTACCTCATGACTTTCAAGAGGGAGGCGTGGCTTACTTATGTGACCCTTATTCCTGTTGTTACTGGAGTCATCATTGCAAGCGGGGTACGTGAGTTATCCTATTTTTCTTTTCAATTTATAATTTGACTCTGCATGTGCAATTCAATTTTTCTTTTTTGTTTTTCTATGCCTTTTAGAATTGGATGAAGCACATGTTACAGAATACAGACAGTGTTTTCATTCATGGCAAATTTGTTGATGGCGTTTTGATTCTTATCATGTTACACTACTTATTTCTCTTACAAATTCAGCAAAATATAACCCCCCTGGCCCCCCAAAAAGAAACAGTGGCAACAGTAACATCGTATAGAATATCGGATGGCAGCATGAAATGAATTGTTATAATTCCAGATAACAAGTTGTTTAGTTCATTTTGCGCACTATTTTTATAAACCTCTTTGGCATCCCTCATGATCACTTGATAAGAATCTTTAAATGTATTTTTATATTTTAGTTATTTCTGTAACAAATCCTACTCTGAGATTGGTGCTTCTCAAATGTTCAAATTCTAGATGTAAAAAGTTGTGGATCTTGTTTCTTATGTAATGTTCAAATTATATATTATGCACTCAGGATTCGGACTTCTAATTTGTTACTTCCATTGGTCTTTATGTGATTATAGGGTGAACCAAGTTTCCATTTATTTGGGTTCATAATATGTGTTGCAGCGACAGCTGCAAGAGCCCTAAAAACAGTGTTACAGGGAATTTTACTTTCTTCTGAAGGGTAAGCTATTTTTGAGTAATTCATTGATTTTTTTCTGCACTTTGTGCAACTAAAGCAATATCTTCAACAACTCACATCATAGTTATTTTATATTAGGGAGAAGCTGAATTCTATGAACCTTCTTCTTTACATGGCTCCGATGGCAGTTGTTTTCCTTCTTCCAGCCACACTTATAATGGAAGAAAATGTGGTTGGTATCACACTAGCTCTTGCCAGAGATGATACCAAGATCATCTGGTATCTGCTATTCAACTCAGCACTTGCATATTTTGTCAACCTGACCAACTTTTTGGTCACAAAGCATACCAGTGCTCTTACCCTTCAGGTATGCCCCATTTCTTCAGATAGGGTTGTGTGTTTCCCCCCTCTAAAATTAATAATCTAATAGACTTCTCTGTTAATAAAAAGTCAAATGTTTGCAATTGTTACAAACAGATCCAGTATTTAAATTAGAGTATATATATTTTTGCATGGTCTTCGTTATTCTGGTGGTTTATGTTTTAGTAGCTCATTTTCCCTGCATACTTGGACACATTCCTACGTCTGTGGTTGGGTTTATCTTTTTTTAATGAAAGGGGCAATCTCTTCTTATTACCAGAGAATCAGATACTACAAAATTATAATACAAGCCTGTTCCAATAACAGTTCAGAGGATCAGTGAAAATTCAAGGGCTAGCCTAGATCTTAGCATTGACCAACCCTTTTACTGACAGGTCATGATAGTTTAGGTCTAAAAATAATTTTTTAGTGAAATTTTATGTATAAGGTGCTAAGGTCCAAATACTTAGGGTGGGGTTGCTATCAGTGGACTCCTATTGTTGCATAATTTGTTTAATTCATCGGATTCACTCATGGTGCTTGAGATAGGATCCCCCTTCTAAAAATACCAAAAGAGAACACAAAGAACAAAGGACTATATTTGTTGCATGGGGATCTCCTTCTTAGGCAATGGAGCATAACACTCTTCAAGTCACAATGCCTAAACTTTAGACAGGCTCCAGCAACACCAAATACAACACAACACACACTAACAGCGCAGTGAAGATAAACTGAGAAAGAAACTGCAGTGGAAAGTGGAAACTTAGATTATGAGTTAGAGAAGAGTACTATAATGCCTGTAACATGTCTTATAAGTTGCTAGGAGCCAGCTTACGACACCCCAGGACCATGCTTAAACCAATATAGTATGAAAAGAGACAAGAGGCAACAGTGAAGATGGCTCATGATAGCAAATACTCTCCGAGAATGGATCCTTTCAAACTTTCCCTGAAGTTATGCTATCAATTTTGGAGAAAGAGACAACGTGTGTAGGTGTGTTACTTAAGTGGATCCCACACCTTTAAGTGTGACTCACTACTCAAGTGGGATCCTTAGATTATGTATCTCTTTCTCCCAAAAATTGATACAATGAGAGTCAGAGAGAAATTGAGAGAATCAGTCACCAGTAATCTTCCTGGTACTTCCACCAAAATGTCCTCCCTCATATAAGGCTGATCACCTTACTCAAATTCTCTTCCAACCACTCAGTCCTATTCTTGTGGTGGTATGGGATCCTACTCTAATCTCCCTTTTCCAGTGTATGAAACCACTGCGCCTCTTGGCAGTGCTGCCATCTAAGAGGACTGTTCAGATCTAGATCGTCCATGTCTCCTCTTGGAGGAGCTGCACATCTCGCATCTCCTAGAGGAGTATAGGGAGTGGGAGGCTTTTCCTGATCTTTCCAGCATTTTTTTTTCGGCCCAATGATCTTTCCAGCTTAAACCGTGGTTCATTTAGTTGGTCCACTGGTCAAAGCGTAAGAACCTTAATCATAGACCCATTAGTCTTGTTTCTCAACTGAGTCAAAACAATCCTGGGGAGGAATTGCAGTGTATTGATTTCTGGCCATAGGTTGCTTGATAGAAACTTAAACTGAGTACGATTTTCCTGAGTGGTTTTTTGTCTGTTTTGAAGAGGAAGATTTAAAATTAATTTCTCTCCTTATGTCAGCTCGCTCTCTCTTCCTTTGTGTGTCGCCTTGTGGTTGGAGTTGTAAATATTTGTCTTGACTCAGAGAATTCAAAGATTACTAGGTGGAGTAGTGGCCAGATGTTTCGTTTTTTAAGTTGATAGGAGAAAGGAATCTGATTGGAGTGAAATTCCTATCTACAATCTAGAGTTGATAACAGAAGTGAAGGCTAAGAATCGTTAACTATAAAACAGTTTCACGATTTGCTAAAAAACAAATTAGTGTCACGAATTGTGACATTTTCACTAATGTTTTTGCTGTTCGTATTTTGGAATATTTAAAAGGTTATGGAATGTAATCTCTTGACAACATCTGATTTTAAGTATCTCGTCATAGCAATCATGAGCTATGGCTGCAATGATATATTAAAGAACTTGCTTGAACAATGTTTATAGGTTTTCTCCACTTTTGACATATGGATACGGACTAACATAAGAGTTCGTTCATGCAGGTACTTGGGAATGCTAAGGGGGCTGTTGCTGTAGTAGTTTCAATTCTAATATTTAGAAACCCAGTCTCTGTCACTGGAATGCTAGGTTACACGCTCACAGTGTGTGGAGTTGTACTTTACAGTGAAGCCAAGAAGCGAAGCAAGTGATACACAACATTCTTAGGGAAGTCTCAAGTGATGCCCCTATATTTTGTTTTCATTACTGCACAGACGACCTCAAGATTCCATGAGGCAAAACTGTTGAATGATGATAGTGGTCAGATCCGGAGGTGTGAAATGTTTGATTATTCAACATTTTTGCCCATTTGGAAAGCCTCATTCAAGGGGTTCACAATTGACATTGTATTGGCAGCTGTGCAGAATCAGCCCGCAGTAGACAGTTTCAGTAAGTTACTCATTCTATATATTAGCTCCATGATGCTGGGATCGTCGAGGAATATCTTGCATTTATTCTTTTGTTGAGATCTACATTCATGTTTTTGCTGTAACGCATGATGGAATTATCAAATAGATTAATTTTATTTAAAGTGATTTGTACATAATTATGATCATGATATGTTCTTTCAAATTTTCCTTTATAGATTATAGATTCAAAGAAATTCCTTTATGTATTTGCTTTGCAACCGACCACCGCTCGTGGGTTTTCCAGCCCGTGAGATATACATAATAGAAATCTGGTAACGCATAATAACATGGAATGAGAATTGATGTGCAAGAGGTTATGAGTTGAAAAAATTGGTATAAACCCGTTATTTCAAGAAGAGAAGCCATACGGATTCTAATGAAAATTCAAAAAGCAGAGCAACTCATCAATCTCATTTTATGACTACACGTAGAATGACAACTACTGTTGCTTGGTGGACGAATTCCGCAGCAGTTGGTCTCATGACTAACCTACTTGGTGCCATCTTTATCTCATTTTCTTTTGTAATATCACTCCCCAATGTTTGGGGAAATATCAGTCATCAATCAATAGAAAAATTAATCCAACGACTGTCTCACACTAACCTTAATGCATGGTCCTAATGAAACGGTCATTGCTGACAGTGGCATAAATTCTACTCTAGATTTTTCCTCCCTTGAATGAAAAGCAATGCAGAAAAAGGATGAGCATAAATTTAAAAACAATTATAACCCCTTTCGATGATTTTCAGCCAGATATACCATTTTTGTTAGTAGTTCTTAACAACCCGTCAACAATCTTTTTTCTTTTTCTTTTAAAATTCTTTTAGGCCGGGTGGAGGAAACCTTCATGCACCTAAGTCCTAAGCACCTAAGCTAGGGGCTAAAGCCGAAGCATGAGCGAAGAAGCCATTAAAAAAGGAACCAATAAAGATCCCTTCACTCAGTTCAGGACAGGTACAAAATGGATGAGAGGCTATGCCATCCCTCGGAAAGACACATGTTGCAAGCCACACTATTTAACTGAATGCACAATTGATAATGATTTGCACACCACACATAGGAAGATGGAAAAGGCAGACTAAGCAGAACAAAAAACACATACAAACACTTGTCGGACAGGACAGACAAACAATGACACATGAGGCAGCAGCAAGATTTAGGATTCTGGAACAGGGGTTGCTGCTCGTTTCATTGATGCAGACTTGATGAGATGGCTATAGCTTCCTTTCTCCTTAAAAAGCTGAGAGAAATGGTGCTTGCAATACAAAATGCCCTCAAGAGCTGCATAATTTGATGGAGATATGGGACAGCCACCATGTGAACACTTGAAACATGATTTGTGATAGGCTTGGCCCTCGACTGTTACCTACACTCAAAATAACAATGCCTTTATAGATGACGACAAACAAACGAAGACATTTTAGTTCAGCAGGACTATAGTAATTGGATTCACTCATTTATGTAAAGCATAAAATATGTCTAGCTACTGACTTCTAGGTTTGGAAAGAGCTGGTTGTGATCTTCCTCACTGAATTGAAGACTAGTGTCACAACTTTTGTTCATTTTTTCCCCAGAACTAATACATTACACCAGCACACAAGCCTTTCACTGTAAATATTTTCATGGTGATCATGATGGATTGGCACACTAACTAGTTAACTAGGTGTACCTTTCAAATATCGATTAAGGTAAATAGACACTGGCATAAACAAGTTCAACTATGAAGTTAACTGATTACAACTTGACATTGATAACCGACTGGGCAGCCAAAAATGAAATATAGAAACATTCTATTACACTCTGCGTGAACCTACACGATCCTTATAAATATGAAATTTTACTAATCTCTCAATAAGGCAAGGAATTCATATCAAAGCTACTCAACACAAGGGAATCCAAACTCCCAGTATTTGATAGCAAAGCCTGATACCATAGGGAGGCATATAGAATAGAAATTAATGCATAAATCACCAATCAATGCCACGTAACAAAAACTATTGAATGTCTCTTCATGCTGACATGAGTCCAAAATTTATTAAATCAAAATGAATAGCAGAGACACTTGATCACCATCGCTATATTCTGCCACAGCCCTAAAAATTTTGACAGGGATATATGAATAACATTGTTTCTGTTGCTCACATGTTATTGAACCAAAGAGAAAACGTTCCACTAATGCACTGAATATGGATGTGAAATTGTGAATAGTAATAGAAATCTATCTTTCTCAAGGCCTGAACACCCATTTAATCCATTCGCAACAAAATTATAACCTAAATAAAATATCATCGAAGAATTCACTTCTCAAGGTTTAGAACTGTACCTTCTCCAACGGATAAGCAGTTTTGCCGCATGTAGCACATTTCTCTTGTGTCCCAGAGAACATGCTGGCAGCTCTACTAGGGGACCTTGTCTGAAATATACAAAAGATGCTAATAGTTAACAATAACACCAAATGCCATAGACGTATAAATGAATTGCAGAATCTGAACAAAGTTTCCAAAAATGGAAAAAGCTTAATATTTTTATTACCAGCTCAGGAGTTGTTTTCTCAGCTAGCTTTGCAGCTGCTCAAAACGAAATTATTGCCAATTAAAGAGGTATCTGATTTAGAAATCGTAAAGACAGATCTATCTCGCAAGAAGACCTACGTGACTGGAAGTTCTTGTTGAAATTTCCTGCCTCCTTGAAGAGCTGCTCATAATGAGGCTTACAGTAGAGAACACCTTCCATCGAGGAATAGTTGCTTAGCTGGAAAAAGAGATCATCAATAATGTAAAGGATTCACAATGTTTTACAAGTTAACCAAAACATGTTCAACAACGTCAATAATGTATGGATTTCGCCCCCACCCCCAAAATTTAACTTTTTTCTTTGTGACAAATCATCCGGTAGATTAAGCATCCGTTGTTTTCAATCTGGCTAGTATCATGAATGAATAAACCTTTTTTTTTAATCTACTTAGATCAAAGAAACCATTTTCTCAGAAGTCATTCCAGCTAATGGGAGTTCACTCAAACGGAAGCACAGAATAAAGTGAAGATTCAAGCAAACAAACAAATTAAAATTCGAAAGTAAACTTTGAAAGTGAAAAAGAAATAGTTGATATCCCCATTACATCAAGAATGCAATAGAAAAAATAATTACAAAAGACTACCTTTAATGTTCCTTTGCAATGAGAGCATCTGAAGCAAGCTTTATGGTAAGCAACGCCATCAGCGGATAGCTGATCCACGGGATAGACCGTTTTCTCGCAAGCCTTGCACTTCTGTTGGGTACCAATGAAAGACATAGCTATGCCCTTTGGATCTAGCTTTATCACCAATCCCAAATCCCCAAGGCAGTGAATCAGATTCCAAGACAATATATCTTTTCAGATTTGTATTTGTAATAACTTGCGCTGATAGACTAGCCTGGTAATGGGGGAAAAAAAACAGAAGAAAACAGTTTGAGTTAATAGTCAGAAAAGGGTCAAACTGAAAGACAAATATCTGTCTGATAATCTATTTGGCCCCAGAGAAAACCCCAGAAAGTCAAGAAGTTGCCCTAGACTGGGGACGGGAGCTAATGAGATGCTATAGAACTGGCAGAATCAAAGGGGTATACTTACCTTGAAAATAGATAGTGAGAAATGGCGGATCGGTGAGGTCTGTCTAAGGAGACTGCTGATTTAAAGCCAAGAGGAGATTGAGACAATTACAGATTTAGAGGGTAAAAGGGACCGAACAAGAGGAAAAATGATGACAGACCAATCATACAGATGCTAGTCCTTATTGCTCCCCCCGCGTCCCTCTCTCCGATATATCCCTCACTGAGTTTATTCCTCCATGGATTTCAAAGTTTTCATTTAAAAAAAAAAAAGCTAATAAGTAAATAGGAACATTAGCTATTATTTAAAAATTATCCTAAATTTTAAATTTTTAAAATATATAAATAAATTTTAAATTTTTAAATTTATAATAAAATAAATTATTACCATTAACTTTTTAACAATGTTACTATTTATTAGGTACTGTTTAGAATTTATTTTTCTACAAATTTAATCTTAACTATTACAATACTTATATAAACAGTAACGGCATTAAAAAATTAACGATCAAAATTTATTTTATTATAAATTTAAAAATTTATAATTTATTTTGTATATTTTAAGGTTTAAGACGATTTTAGAATAAGAGTTTATAATTTTATTTACTCATCAATCTAAAAAAAATTAGAGTTATAAAGGTTTTGTATAAAAGATTATGAAATTAAAGACAAAATTCAGTAAAACTATAAACAGTAATAATTATATTTCCCTTACAAAAAAGTAGTTTAATTTGCATCAAGTCAATGAAGAATGGAGATATCTCAAGAACGATAAAAGCATTAACGTGGGGGGAGGACCAAAGCAAAACAAATTTATTTCTAACGGAGTATCTAATTGAATTTTGAATGATACAAATACGTTTTTTTTTTTTCTTTTTGACCTCATCCAAATTAAACATCTTTCCAGGATACAGCAGAGCAGGCGTCTCATGGCAACGGGGGGACAGTGTCTTTTCAATCTCAAAGACTAAAATAAATTAATTTCTCGTCATTCAAATCATATCTTGCCATATGTATTTCAATAAAAACTTACAGTCCATTTGGATTACCTCAAAGATACATTAAAATTACATTTAAGATATATTTTATTAAATTCAATAAATAATTGAATTATTTAAATGTACTTTTATCATATGTAAACTGAAATTTAAATAGGTGCTTAAAATTCATATTTGAAATTTATTTTTTAAATATAAAAGTTAAGTTTCATAGTTCATATTTTTTTTGGTGGTCGAATTCATAGTTCACATCTTGCTGTCCTTTTCTTTCGTTCTTGTTTTTTTTTTTTTTTAAAGATTTGCTATGCTTTGCAACAATTCCTAGTATCAAGGAAGAATAGATTGTTCGAGTAAAGAGAAATTATATCAATTTTTTTTTGAGCAAATTAATAACAAAAGAATTGTATGAAGTGGCTTTGAGGGCATTGAACAACTAAAACTATTATTATATATAAATTGTAAATAAACGCGTCTTTGACACTACTTAGTGCCTATTTGGATTTGTGTGGAAAATCGTTTATTTATACGGAAATCGAGTTTTAGTAAAAAGTATCCAAATGTCCCATTTTTCACTTAATCGATTACTTGGCTCCAAATGCTGTTTTGACTTAAGCTCATCTTATCTGCTTCTCAATGTGCTCATTTAAATTTTAATTGGGTATAATAGATTATGAAAATAATTAATTAAATGATAGATTATAATTATAATTGATTATATTATAATGTAATTTGTTTGGATACTGTTTTTTTAAAATTAATTTTAACAGAATTGAAGATGTTTGGATAATTTATTCATAATCAATTTTAGCTGTATAAATTACTATAAAGGACATTACCTTTTAAAATTAAATTATTGATAAATTTATATATAATATTATTAACGTTGTTACATTTTATTTAAAAATTAAAATATATTATTTAAATTACATATCTAATTAATTAAAAAATTTAAATTAAATTAATATTAACATTTAAATTTATGTAAATAAGTAACACAATATATCTCAGTTAGACCGAATTTAATAAAACAGAAAGATTTAATTCTTAAATACCAAACATTAATTTTACAATAATTAATGAAGATGATAACATATAAATTAATCTCTAATGACATTATGGAGATGAGCCATATCTAATGAAAATGTTAAGCATTGTCTTAAAATTTTAGCAACATAAAAAATGTAATAATGTAATAAATGACGAAAAATCTCTCTCTCTCGACTTTTACAATAATTTTTGTAATAACCTTTAATTTTAATTAAATTAAATTAACTTTCCCATATTAATTAATACTTTATTTGAATTAGTTTTATAATAAGTGTTAAGTGTAGGGTGATGGTTGACAAGAACTTACATTAGTAATTTTTTTAAAGATTCAAACTTTGAATTTTGTTAAAAAAAAAGAGAAAGAAAAGAAGAGAATTTGATTTTATTTTTATTAAATTTTATAATTTTTTAAGTTTTTTTGTAATTTTTTTCAATGGTTTTGTAAATTAGAACGCTGACTCCTCCAGCTTTGGCAAAAAATCGACTTTGGGAAAAAATTAATTTTTTGAAAAAATTGGTGCTTGGATAATTGACACCAAAATCGATTAGATCGGCTATCCAAACACGCTAATATCAATTATATGTGTTGGAACTTTTATTACTCATTTACTTGTCAGAATTTCAAACATACCGAATATACCCCCGTGACTTGTCATAGTGTGGCTTGTGATTGAATCCTCTAAACACAAGGATTTGAAGGCTTGACTTGTGCATCCCAGAGTCAGACAGCAGTTCTCCCTTTTCTTTTATATAGATGAAAACATTAATATTATAATTTAATTTAATTTAATTTTATATTGTTAATCAATATGTGTGTTTTAAATATATAAATATTAAAGAGAAAACATAACATTATGTCCAGCCACCAATATTATATATATTATAATACCTAAAGAGATATACTTCCGAAAACAACAAAACGTTTTCTCATGAGTTTTGCGACCACTAATTTATTGGGTTGAGAGCCAATAACAAAGGTTGGACTCGGCCAGCCAACCTGCCACCCCACTAAACAATATCGAGCGAGTTAGGTTAAAAAAATTTCAACTATTTAAAAGACAAGTTCATTTAACCTTTTTTTTGTTGGGTAAAAAGACAAATATATTAACAATAAAATGAAGTTTACAAAGTCAAAGATAAGATAGAAGCATTATTAGAAGAAAAAAATAGAAGGATAGGACGAGTTATGTGTACCACATTTTTTAATAGTGTTGTTGTTAAAGGTCTCCAAAAACTTTATAAGATCCTGATATACAAGATGTTATCAATTGGAACAGAAGCAAACTCTCTTGTTATATCTAATTTTCAAATTCCCAAATCTCGCATATCTTCCAAACTACTTTAAAGAGAAATTCATGATTCGGAACAGTACGCTGCGAACACAAAAGGCCAACAAAAGATGTAGACAAATAACATTAGATTTGTTGAGAAGCAAATTAACCTAACCTTCATTGTTAAGAGATAAATAAACAACACCGTAAGATTTTTTTTTTCTTTTCTAAAAAACACGTGCCTAGATCTCCCAATTGAGAATGAGCTTGGTTCTGAGAATAAGAATTAGAAATTCCTTCAGAAGTTCTAAGACCAGTGTTTTTCCCCTAAAGTTGGTTGTTGTCCCATCAGCATGCACCTTTGAGAAAGAGATATTGCTCATTGAAATCTCAAATGACCTGTGGATAGGAGTTATCTTTCCTGTATGTAGAGCATGATTTCTTTTATACTATCAAATGCAGAAGTAAATAAATGTGTTCTAAAGCCAGGGCCTCTTGATTCTGGCATAAAGTTTTTGAAGTTTGTAAGAGCTAAAAGATAAGATCTTGGATAGAAATGCCTGTGGAGCTTATAGACAAAGAGCCAAACCAGATGACTCTTGTGTAAGGGCAATCACAAAAGAGATGATGCAAAGTTTCTTGTGTATCACAACCAAAAACGCACTGAAGAGTAGAGCTGAGATGATGTTTAATTAACACATCACTAGTAGGCATTACTTCATGAATAATCTTTCAAATGAATAGGAGAATTTTCTAAGGCAATTGAAGTTTCCAAAGAAAATCCCAAATTCTTTCCCTAGATAAGGGTCTATCTTGATATGCATAAGCAATTTTTGAATAACCATCCTTGATTTTGTAGGAATCAGAATCCCAAATCAGTAGATCAATCAAACTAGTAAAAGAAATAGGCATCCTTAAAACGGAATTAGCATCCTCCTTGCCATAGAGTTTAGTGATGAGAGGAGCATTCCTTTTAGTAGCCATCCAAGGAGATGGTTTATGAATGACAAGATCGAAAACTTTTAAAATGTTTAAACTATAAGGAAAATATGAAACATTTTGAAAATTACCATCTTGATTAATTAAGTTAATGAAGGGTAAATATATAAATTTAAGTGTAAATGGGTTTGAGGATGGTTAGCTATAGCTATTGTGTTTAGCTTTAGCCTTTGGATTGAATTTGAAAGTGAACTGAGTCATCCAAGCTCAAATTGTAGAGCAAATTTGATTTAGGCCTAATCTGCATTATGCTACAACACAATTTCCAAAATAATTTTTTTAAAAATGCAAAAACTATTCAAAAGGAAGAGAAACACCAAAAAAACAGAGAGGGGACGACTTAAAGAGTATTTTCTCTGTTAGGGTATCAATTTTTGGACATTTTAGAGGTGATTGGAGCTTGATTTCACATAAGAATACCTTCCTTTTCTCTTCTTCTTCTCTGTATACATCTTGGAAGAGGAATTTAAGGTTGAGAGATGAGGCTTTTCGAACCTAGGGCTATGGGTCCAAACCCATTAGTCTAAATGGGACTAATGAAAGTTGTTTGAATTACCAAAACCTATCTTTGATGAGTTTAAGCATCCTTGAGCTTGGGCTCATTAATATGGACGAAATTATGCCCTAAAGTGCAATACATGGTGATGGTTGAGGTAGATAGCTGCCATTGATATTGATTAAGGAGTTTGTTAGTGTTAGTCGAAGCTAGTAGGAGTTAATAAACCTAATATTGTGATTAAACTCAAGAGTTGAGATTTTTTGCTGATTAAAATGTTGAAACTGAAGAGTTAGAAGTAAGTAATTTGTGATATTGATGATGGTTTTAGGTTTTTGGATGTTATATTGGTGATTATTTAAGTTGTTGAGAGCTAAATG